CCCGCCAAGCTCTGCTTCCCTCAGGTCCCTGCCTTCCTCTGGCTCCCTGTGGGGGCGGAGGGGGGAGGGGGTCCCACGGGGCCGATAATTTCCCCCCCATTAATCAGGCCGCAGCTAATTGTTCGGGTCCAAAGGCGGCAGCGGAAGGGGACGGGATCGGTAAGGAATTAACTGGGGCCCATCGCTCAGCGCAGACAGGCCCCTTTGTCAGGACTGGCCGGCGGGGGGCGGTGAGGACTGCAGAGTCTGCGAGCCGAGGTGGGGGCTGCTTCTCCCATCCACCAACCGCCGGCCTCTGGCAGCCACCCCGGGGCCGCAGCTTAGGGGAGTTCGGCTCTTCGCTGTCAGGAAGTCCTTCCTATGGTCTACCCCAGGGGTCGGCAAACTAAATCCTGAAGGCCAAATCTAACCGCCCATGAGAATAGTTTTCACATTTTTAAATAGTGGAAAAAATGAAAAGACAAATCACATTTCTGGACGCGTGAAAATCGGATTTCAGAGTCTGTAAACAAAGTTTTATTGGAACAGAGCTGCGCACATTCCTTTCAATGTCCTCTATAGGTGCTTTCAGGCTGCAATGACAGTGGAGTATTTCTGACAGAGACTGTTAGGTCTGCAAAGCCTAAAACATTTACCATCTATCCTGCCCTTTACAGAAGTTTGCCAATCTCTGGTCTAGCCTCCCGTCCTTCCTGCTACAGTGGAGGTCTTGGGAGGTCTGTGGGCTCTGCGTGCAATCCTATCTCCCCATCCCTTCCGGTTCCCCTCCTTTCTTGAAGGTCCTGCCCTGTACGTAGGCCTCGTCCAGGGAGGTCCAGGTAGCCTGCAGTCCCTGAGGATGCCCGCAGACAGGGCCTTAGTCTTAGTGTCCTGACTCTCTGCCTACCCCCAACCAGGGACTCCAGTGAACCGTGTACCTATCATGGCGAAGCAGGTGCTGGACCTGTATGCGCTCTTTCGCCTGGTGACCGCCAAGGGCGGCTTGGTGGAAGTCATCAACCGCAAGGTGTGGCGGGAGGTCACGCGGGGCCTCAGCTTACCCACCACCATCACATCGGCCGCCTTCACTCTACGCACCCAGTGAGGCCAGGCGCGCGCAAGCGGTGGGGGCGAGGCGTGGAAGGGAGAGGGGCGCGAGGCGTGGAGGGCCCCGGGGATTGGTGTCCTTCGGGGTGTGGGGCTTGATCAGCTGGGTCCAGCCTCCCACTCCACCGCACCCCGTCTGCCCCTAGGTACATGAAGTACTTGTACCCGTACGAGTGCGAAACGCAGGCGCTCAGCTCCCCGGGGGAGCTCCAGGCCGCCATCGACAGCAACCGACGCGAGGGCCGCCGTCAGGCTTACACCGCCGCCCCGCTCTTCGGCTTGGCGGGGCCGCCCCCTCGGGCACTC